TTAAAATAGAAGAAATCATAGTTACCATGTTTTTCATTTCGTGTAAGATTATATATATATATATGTATATATATGTGTGTTGCATGTGCTTTGTGCTTGAATAGTAGCCTGCACATTTTTTGCATTCTGGCAGACCAAAAAAGAAAGCAAATAGATAAATATGATTAGGTGTTGGGTTCCTGTACACCGTGTTTATGAATTTCTCGATCATTATTGTTAGCCCCCCATCAATTCTAGCCGTCGGATTACCAACCCGATCCCTCATATTAAATCCCAGCCGTCCATTTATTCTCGATCATCATCTTGTCGGCAACCCAACCCGCAAGCATGATGATCGGCGCTACTTTTAACTGGGTAGGCCATCTATGATTGACCACAGTGAATTCACTGATGCTGTTGCTGTATGACAAAACACACACAATCATTTCTCATCGGGACTGCAGAAATTAAATTTCACTTTGTAGTTATCACATATTTCGATCATTTCTCATCAAATGGATGATCATCATGATTATCAAAGATTGTGGGACCCCCACAACGCGCCTAGTGCATTTTCGTCCGGGCCGACTTGGGTCGGATACTTTGGACCCGAATAAGTCACTTGGGCTGGGCCTAGATCAGGTTAATGACCCTATTATTTTTGTTTTACCAAACAGGGCCTTATTTCTGGGGAGAAACGTGACAGCTTCAACATCCCAGTTTATGCACCAAGCCTGCAAGACTTCAAGGAGGTGGTTGAAGCTGATGGCTCATTTGCCATTAACAAGCTTGTGGTATTCAAGGGTGGAAGTCCCCTGGTGGTCAGCCAGCCAGACGATGCATTCGAGGTGGGTCGTGCCCTTGCCAACTCCTGTCGGAGTGTGGCCGGAGTTCTAGTTGATGCCCACATCGGAGACCAACTCAGCGAAGAGCTGTTTTTGCGAGTGGAGCGTCGAGGAGCCGGCCATGCCAAGGATCTGTTAGAGAAGCTACAATTTTATCATATAGTAGCATCTTTGTCTTTTGCTTAAGAGAAAAATTCTGAGACAGGCTTGAAGGAGAAAGGATTTTTTCCCCCTTCTTGTAATTATAGTGTTCTCTACTTAGATTGTGAGACTTGTTTAATTGATGTGTTTTATTTTGTGTGTTAATCGAAACACACTGACTAATTAATTACATGTAATTATTATATATTAAATAAAAAGTTACTATATATCAAAGTTCATTATATATAAAATCACAAGTGTTAGAATATTTACAAATTTTCATTACTTTTAGTTATTATTTTATATATACATATATATATATTCAATTTTAAATGAGCTCATGAAAAAACAATACAGAAGTGGAAGCAAGAGTAGAAACAAATCATTTCTGATATATGTAGCCTCAAAAGATCATATTACATAGCAAGAAGGAACAGTCACAGATTGGATTAGAAGTAAAAAATTAGACAAGCTAGACCTTAGAAGAACAGTCTCCTGCCGGCCGGTCTAGAGGGAACAGTTGAGGGTGATGCTGAGGACTTTAAGGTGATGGGAATTCCTTTACTTTCTTGGCTGCCTGCCACTTTATCAACCAGTTTTGCTGCTTTCGGGTCCATTAGAAGTGTCTTTTGAAATGACTGTGAGAAGCCGGTTGCAATGATTGTTACATGAATCTCTCCATTATACCGGTCATCTACAACAGCTCCAAATATTATGTTTGCAGAAGGATCTGCCAAGCTTGTTACAACCTGGAAATTTACATGGCAGATACAGAAATCAGCGTCGCAGGTATTCAGCATAAAATTCTAACATGACAAATCATATGTATTCTACCTGTGATACTCTATTTACTTCCTGCAAGGTTATGTCTTTCCCTCCCGTAATGTTATATACCACTCCGGTAGCTGACTGGATTGATGATCCAATCAACGGGGCCAATGTTGCTTGTTCAGCTGCTTCTTCTGCCCGGTTTTTGCTGGAAGAAACCCCTACTCCAAGCATTGCAGTCCCAGAATCTTTCATGACTGCCTTAACATCAGCAAAATCCACATTTACCAGCCCAGGTATCTACCAAAACAAGGGCAAATGTGTTAAATGATCTGGACGAAGGAAACAAGATGACAAGTCTCGGGTTATAAAACAATTAAAATCGAATAATCAACAAGTAGTCCTAAAGTTAGATCCTAATTCCCCAGCAACACAAAATGGAGAGCATTTTAACAGTATAAATACGTGCTATCCTAAAATTTGAGAAAGTGAAAACTAGCAGGCTTACACTTAATCATGAACTGAAAGTTTGAGAAGCCAAAGGTAACCTAGATATAAATATCAAGAATAATTTCAAAAAATTGGAAAGCAATGGATGCTTGATGCCCTGAGCCAAACAATTTCCTATCTTCGAGCATTTTACTAAAACTGAAAAATGATAATGAATTGTCATGGTGAGATAAAAAGCAGTTAATGCATGCCTGATCAAGAGCCGGGTGTAACTTGAAAGTTTTTCTCAAATATTCCGATCAAAAGCATTTTGTCATATCACAAAATTACTCACTGTGATTATGTCGGAAATTCCTTGCACTCCTTGGCGTAAAACATCATCTGCAAGAAGAAAAGCATCCTGAAGAGGTGTCTGCTCATCAGCTATATCAAGTAGACGGTCATTAGGAATCACTATCAGAGTATCAACATTCTTTTGCAATTTTTCAATAGCCTCCAGTGCCTGCAAAGACAGAGCAGGATATATAACCCTTTGGAATAGGGACAATAAAGAGTCATGCTGTTTTGACTTTTCACAATATCAAGCATCCTGTAACTATATACATCTAGAACAACTTCTCAGGAAACAGTCTAGGTGAACGGAGAGAAACAACATATCTAAACATCTATACGAGAAATCAGAGTTAGTAATTGTAAATGCATTACTTCTATATTTCCCAGAAATAATTAAGTTGTGTCATATATAGTTAAGTTGGCAATATTCGTATTATAATTAAGAAATGTAAATAAACATGAAAGAAAATCAAAATTAGTTTGCAGTTTTCATGATTTTCGGATAAGACTAGAATGCATGCCTGTATAGATCTTTTGCGTCCTTCAAAGCTGAAAGGGTAAGTAACAACACCGACTGTCAGATAACCGGCTTCTTTCGCTATCTGAGCAACAACTGGGGCAGCACCTGACCCTGTACCTCCGCCCATACCAGCAGTTATGAAAACAAGATCTGAGCCCTTAAGGGCATTTGAAATGCCTTCTTTTGATTCCTCAGCAGCTTGTTCCCCCAATAGCGGATTCCCACCAGTACCTGCCGTGTCAAACAACTGATTCAAATTCAAGGATACGAATGACTCAGCAGCATAAAATAATAGCATTGGTACAAGAACAAGAAACTCTTCTAAATCAAAAGGGGAGTGCCAGACCTAATCCACGAGTCAAAAGCTCTCCAATTTGAAGTGGGTTCTCCGCAGTGGACTGTAATAAAGCTTGGGCATCTGTGTTTATGGCATAGAAATCCACCCCCTAATTCCAAAGAACAAGCAACTGAATTGAAACTTACACCAGCTAATATGTGCAAACAGATACTATGTCATATATATAATTCAGAAACAAGAATTTCCCAGAGGCCAGCTCATAAAGCTCAAAATGTATATCCATTTTCCAATCGATGCCAGCAAAACAAATCAACTTCAAGAGGTGAAGGAGGGAGCCATGGAATTTGAACTACGAAGACTTCCTATTTTTGAAAAATAAATTTCTATCGCCAAACAGAAGCTATAGAAATCAAATAGCGAAAGACAAACAGAAGCTAGAAAATAAACCACCCATAAATTCATAAATATTATTCAGGAATAAGAATTTCTCAGAGGTCAGCTTCATACGGCTCAAATGTATATATCCAGTTTCAAACCAATTCTTACAGAAAAGGTCAACTTGAAGCGGTGGATGAGGGAAATATGGACTGTGAACTATGAAGAATTCCTGTTTTAGAAACATGAAATTCTATCACCAACCAGAAACTATGAGAATTAAATAGCCAAAAATAAAAAAGAGGCTAGAAATCAAATCAGCCAACAATCAAATTTCCAAGAAAATCATAACCAGAAAGAAGAAAACAAAATTCGGTATAAATAATTAATAACAATAACCTGCAAACCACTAGAAATCATGCGATTAACGGCATTGTTCCCACCACCGCCAACTCCAACCACCTTAATCTTGGCGGACTCCATCGGCACAAAAGAACACCTCACACCTCCCGAGCTAGACCCAAAACTGCGTCGGTTCCAGACCCCAGTGCTCCTCTTCCCGCTACTGCTATCAACACATGAACAATTCCTAAATAAAGAATGCGAAACCTTCTTCTGGTAAATTGAAGAAGAAGTGATCAATTCGTTTGGGTTAGTCAATTGAAGTGTAGCCATTTTGCTGTTTCGTCGGAAACTCGGTCCCCTAACAGTGGAGAGTGGAGAAGGTTTTTTAGGGTTTTAGGGATTTCTTCAATTTCAATTTCATTTCCATTTTCCGCGAAAGAGTTTGGAAGAAAGAAACGAATAAAAGATTGGTGGGCCATTTTACGTCAGGGTTTAAAATTTGTACTACTCGCTGCTATTAATTTAACATAATTTTTGTAATTTATAACTAATAATTTATTTTGATTCTTATTTATTATTATTATTATTATTAATTATCAATATTGATTATCAGAAAGAATAATAAAATGCAACAACTAATTTAATAAAATACTAGTATCTTTCAATAGTGAAATTATGTTGAATTATATTATTAAATTTAATTTTTATTTATTTTTAATATAACAGTAAATAAAATAATTTATAAAGTTAAACTTGAAATCAATTAATTTAATCTTTAATAAAAATATTATAAATTCTGCTCATAAAAAATTACATACAACATAAATAAATTTTATAAAATAATAGACTCAATCATCACTATCGATATCTAAAAACTTTTCAGAGATTGAAAAAACTATAAAATATCTTTAAATATATTGACAATAGAGATGATAGCTCGCGGCAATACATACATCTTGATTGATTCCAAAAACTGTAATGCAAAGTTGTCAAGGCGAAACAGATGAATGGGAAGGCTAGAAAAGATTAATGATGGAAGAAGATGAATGTCGATAAGCTTGCATGGGGGACATCGTAAAAGATTGGAACTTCGATCAACTGGATAAAATAAAGAACTTCGATTTACAAGGTCAGGGAAACTAAAGATGTTCTCACTTACATTATCCCTTGTAAATTATTTGTACTGTGTACCAAAGATAACAGAGAGCAGTTCCTGTCTTGGTCACCAAATGAACTTCCCATGAATCTAGTTAGGACAGCCAGAATATAATGAGACGCAGCAAAACAGACAAAAAGTAGAGATTCTTTCTCGCAATACTTCAAATCTTATATCATGCAAAACCAAAGGAGCTCTCCTCAACAATTATTCAATTCCAAGTTACATACTTGTTGTCTGTGTCTTATAGGATGCTCAATTAGATTCTTGAAATGGAATAAGAACTTAATATAACAGTGTAAAAGAACATGTTCAAGTCGAGCACCCAAGGCAAACTAATTCCTCGTTTACACCCCAATAAGAATTACATACAAACTCAGACATTGGAAGATAAGAAAACGAATCATTCACTAGAGTTATAACCATATGTTCTCTGCCTGCCAATCCGCAAGCCATGATTTTCCGGTCTAAAAACAAGATGCTCTTCTCCATGACAAGCTCTATTCCCCTTCGCTCAAAATGGGAACTATAAGTGGTTTCATTTGTGCAAGATATACAATTGCCCACCTAAAAGAGTTCAGAAAATATATGCAAAAATGAACAGATATTCAGTAACACATGTTTATTTGTCAAATTAGCAAGAAGGTTCAAAGGGTAAGCACGTACAAATTGAGATTCTGATACAAGCACAATTTTTTTCATAAGAAGCAGCATGCATCAACCAACATAAACAACAAGCATACCCAAATCATCAATTTAACAATGTCAACAGTAAGTCCATGTAATTTCTCAGCATCGTTAACATGTAATTTTAAGTTATATTAAGTATCACATCAATCTCCTTCTGACAACTTCTATTTTAAGCGGACAAACAAAATTTTAAAATCATCTTCTAATTTATCAGCTCTTTGATCATTTCATTGAGAAGCCTAAAGTCAGAATTGGTCAGATGACAGTAGCAGAATGGAGCACTCCACAAATTTGGAACATTCTCAGCAGGTTGGCAACTCTAATAATAAAGAGAAAACGAACAAGAACCCTTCTCTTTGCCGAGGGTTTAAGGAACTCAATCAGAAAACCAGATGAAATAATGTGCATCTCTTTATCATAAGAGTAAGATTGGATGAAAGGAATAATTTAAAAACCAACCAATGCAGTGCAAACGAAAGAACATGCAAATCAAACCCAAACTTCGTTGAATGCTGCAAGTCAACATGTTCATGTCTAAAGATGCTTCCTAAAGGCATCATCAAGTTTGAGCGACTATGCATTCCATCAGCAAGTGATTGCAAGAAAAGAAAGGGAATACACAAATTAAACATGTACATACATCATCCAACAACAAACAGTTGCCGTGATAACCAATGTGAGGTGCAACCTGCAATAGAAAACACAAATTAGCTATCTTACATAAACAGAAAACTATATATTTCCTTAAGTGAAGTATTCCAGGAACTAAGAAAATAAACAGAAAAGTATATAATTCTTCAGATGAAGTGATCTAGTAACCAAGAAAACGACAAAATATTAGGGAATTGAAGAACTGGATAGCAGAAGTTCTAAACTTCAAAATTTATTCATCAGTATAGATATGTATCATCCATTAAAAAAATCCACTTCATGAGACAATACATGTATTAAAGGCATAGGGACCATTTAGAGGAGTTAAGCTACTCTGTTTCAAGACGTTGTTAAAATGATCCTCTTCCAGAGATCTAAACCGAGATTATATCCAATGCAGATATCTCATTTAAGATGAACTTACAATTTTATCTGAGCTTCAGTCAAGAGATCCAACCTCCATTAGCAAGGCACTCAGAACATTCAAAGCTAGAAGCCATCCAAGGAACCCTCACCAGCTCTACTATGATTTATGATCAATTTCTAAATTTTCAAAAATCCAAATTTTCGGTAACAAATTTCAATGGCTATAGCAGCAATCACACGCACTCCATTGAATTCGCAATTGAAGAAAATGGAGAACTTAAAATCCCTAGGAGCCTACAGATGTAATGGCTCTTGAGCAAAGTCAAAACTCTGAACAGAAACTGATTATGACTACTCTCAAAACTTAAATTAAACGGAGTGATGGATTTCAAATTCCCCAAATACGAATTCACAGTCTCCAAATTAGAATAAAGAGCACAAATCTCCATGAAAATAGAAAACTTATGCACATGAAAGACAACAACTAAAAAACATCAAATTAAAGTCAATTAAGAAAAGGAACATACAGATTAGCGGAGGGACCTCTGTTGCAGCAAATTCTAGTACAAAGAGAAGCAATTATTCCTACCACTACGAATATTAGGGTTGTTACCAGAAAACCCATATCCGATCTTGATCTGGGAGAACTTCCTGTAAAAAAAAAAAACATAGTTTTATTTACGATTGAATGAAACAACAATCTTTCGTCGAAAAACAGAGGAGAACGTAATTCGAAAATCAAAATCTAAATTGAGAAAAATGAAGAACGAGACATATTAGACTTACAGTACGTTGAGTTGCCAGGAAAACACAGGAAAATGAGAAGAAAGAGAGAGAAAATATTTGGGATCTTACAGATTACAACTCGTCGAATTCAAGCATAACACCATAACCAATGGAGTGTCAATGGGCTCCTGTTACCAGGCCCAGGCGTTGGAAGAATTCAATATGGGCTTGGTTTCTTTCTTATATCGGTAAATTTAATAATTGTCTTAAATTAGTGAAATACAAAATTCATAAATATTTAATTAGAAAATTATATTTTTTCATAAATTGTTGTATTAATACAAAAATAATTTTATTTTTTAAAAATTAAAAAAATATATTTTACTTAAACAATTATTAGGCACTTTACTTTCTCACAACCTAAAGACTCTTTTTTTTTTATCACTTTATATTATATTATTAATATTAAAATACATCAACTTATCATTTAAAATATTTTAAAAATATATATATAAAAATAAAACTATTATGTTATTTATTTTTTAGAAATTATATTAACTTTTTTTATTATTTTTTTGTAATACTCAGGCTCGGAATTTGGCCCGGGATCAATTTTGACATTTTAAAATATATAAAAAAAATTTATTTTTAAATTAATTTATTTTAATTTTTGTTGAATTTATGAAAAAAATAGGTTATGGATAAAATTAAAAATAATTTTTAAAAAAATGAGTGAAAATTTGGGTTTATGAAGTATTTTGAAAGAAAAATTAGAAAATAAGGATCAGAGTACAAATATAGAAAAACTATTACACCTAGGATTACCCAGTCAGCAACCACGGCGTGCTAGAACACGCCGCGTAGCAAGGCACGCTAACGTCGGTGCCATGAGGGATGCCACGCGGGCGATTCACGTGCGCCCTGATACTAACTGTAACGGCCCCGGAAATTCAAAAGGAAATACATATAATAATATGAGTGCGGAAGTGAAATAAAAGATTAAGGTTAATATCCCTTACACAATAACTTAAAAGTACTAAACAATATCACAGAATAAGTTCTCTAAAAGAAATACGAGAAATGAGAAAAATAAAAGAAACTATAAAGTATATAGCATCTACTTGCCGTCTTCTTGTGGATCGGGCTCAGGAACCAGATCCTCCTGATCTGAAATGGTTAAATAAAGAATGAGCTATATTAGGCCAGTAAAGACATCACACTATATCACCGTCACATAAGCAAATGTTGGTAGAAAACCGAAAACAAACAATGGGGCACAAATTTTAAACCAATACAGTTATTTAAAATAAAACCACTTACCCTTTTTCTTACCCTTGGAGAACCTGTGAAAACAACCTATAAAGATAATAACATCATACATATCACAATTTCATACATAATCAGTAATATAAAACACATCATAAATTCGTATTTAATAACTGATTATCACCGTTTCTCGTTTTCACCAGCCTACTAGTTTCTATGGGGATCCATAGAGGTCTCTGCTACACTTGAACCATTCCTCTTAACAATCTTAATTCCAGGGCCGTCCCAATACCCCGTCCAGTATGAGCACCAAAATAATAAACCTCAATACCTTGTCCGATATGAGAGTGAAGCGGGCCGTCCCCATACCCCATTCGGTATGAGCGCCAAATGACAAAGTCTCCATACCCCCGTTCGGTATGAGACAACGTTCACGGTAGGGTTCCCTATGAACCGGGTATGTCTACCATCTTCCAGGATATCTAGTGAGGCTGTCATCTTATCCAATTATCAAATCACATCCCATTCCTATTTGTCCTTAGTCTCCGTTACCAACTCAAACATGAATACATAAATAAGTAACGTGCATCCAACAAAGCAAACATATCTTTAGATTCCCAAAATCAAACAGTAGTGAAGTAAGCAGTAATACATGCATTTAAAACCATAGAATAGATAAACCAGATACCATAATGCATTTAAACTATAAAATAAATCAAACAGGAATCGACAGAGAATAATGTCCAGTTCGGGCTCCATTAGCAACCGTAATTAATTATATATATTTATTTAATTTGTACAGAATACAGTATTACCATTTATTCGAACTTTAATTCCATGATAGGAAGTAGGGTGAGGGGTCCTTACTTGATTTGACACTGAAAACTATATTGTCACTACGCCTACGGGCAGTTCGTAGGTTCCCTGAATTTTTTTTCAGGAACTGAAACGCGTTTACGGTACCTACACATGTCCCAAATGACCCAAAAATCATACCCAGGGCCTACTCGACCAATTTTAGAATTCCGGCACGGCGATGATTCGCCTCGGGTTGGCTGTTTTCGACCGAATTCAGCTAAACTTGCATCGGTTCCTATAAGAAAACAGACTTAAGGCCCTCGGTGGGTCGAAAAAATGTGAAAAACTGAAACTCACCAGTGGTTGGGTGTTTTGCTCCGGTCAACTTGTAGAGGAGGAAACGGTGATCGCAACGGTGAAAAAATCACATCGAATGGGAATCGGGAAGGGCCTCATCGGAGGCAAAAACTGAAACACCCTGCGGCGGCGCTGCTGAGTTTCGACAGCATTTTCTAGCCAATTGGTCGGTGCTTTCGGTCCGATTTGGCCATAGGTGGGTTTAGAATCAAATTCTGAGCAAATAGTAGAATTTTTACCTCGTTTGGCAGCTGGAAATTGATCCGGTACGGCGGTGGGTGACGGCGGTCGGCTCCCCGGCGGCTGGGCTGTCTTTTCCGGCGAGGGGCTCTGGCGGCTAGGGTTAGGGTTTGGGTGCGAATGAGGTTATTTATACACATCTGCTTTTGATTTGAGCCGTCCATCGCTTTAATCTGAACTGTCTGATCGCGATTAAAATACGGAATGAATCTGAACCGTTTATCGCGATTCAATCTGGGCCGTCCATGCGCGATTCAATCTGGGTCATCCGTGCGCGATGCAATCTGGACCATTCGTGCGCGTTTTTGATCTGGGATGTCCGTGCGCGCGGGAACGGATCTCAGCCATTTGATCGCGCGCGCGCAGATCGCACACGTGGCTCTCTTCCGCGTGACCTCCCACATCAGTGTCTCTGCCACCTGGCGCGTCTTGGTTGGCCGGGGCTGCTGACTGGGTAGCTGACTTGTCATAATTTTTTTAAATTATATTTTGACATCTGATTTCCGATTTTTCTTTCAAAAATACTCCCATAACCCAAATTTTCACTAATTTTTCCTAAAATTATTTTTAATTAAATCCTTAAATAATTTTTTACCCCTTATTATTATTATCTCCATTAAAATAAAATAAAATAAATTAAATTCTATTAATACTTATTTATATTTATATAGAATAAAATAAAATAATAATAAAAAAAAATAACAAAAAAATAATTGGGTGTTACAACTCTCCCCTCCTTAAAAGAAATTTGGTCCTTCAAATTTGCCTCTTACTCTCGATCGAATAACTGGGGGTACTGGGTTCTAAAGTCTGATTCTAGCTCCCATGTAGCCTCCCTTAGTGTGTGGTTCTGCCATACGATATTTACAAATGATACTTTCTGATTGCAGAGTAATCTGCTCTTTCGATCCGTAATGCCGACTGGTACTTCCTCGTAGGATAAGTCCTCCTGGAGTGGGAGAGGTTTGTGGGCCAAGATATGAGAGGGGTTCGGGTTGTACTTGCGTAGCATGGACACATAAAACACATTGTGGACCTTGGAAAGCTCTAGAGGCAGTGTTAGTCTGTAGTCGTAGGTATCAATCCCGTCTAAGACTTTAAATGGTCCAATAAATCGGGAGTTCATTTTTCTCCTCCTGCCGAACCTACTAATTCCCTTGAAAGAAGTGACCTTAAGGAACACCCGGTCGCCTTTCTCAAACGCTAAATCTCTCATCTGGGTGTCCATATAACTCTTCTGCCTGCTCTGAACCATCTGAATGTTCCTCCTGATCTTAACTATCTTGGATGTAGTCTCTTCTACCAGCTCTAGGCCGAACAATTTTCAATCACCTGTTTCTTCCCAACAAATCAGCGATTTGCATGGGCGCCCATATAACGCTTCATACGGAGCCATGCCAATACTCGCTTGGTAACTGTTGTTGTAGGCAAACTCTATCAGGGGTAGATGGTCGTCCCAATGGCCCCCAGAGTCAAGGACACAAGCTCAGAGCATATCCTCAAGTGTACGGATTGTCCTTTCTGATTGTCCATCAGTCTAAGGATGGAAGGTAGTATTGAGGGACAGCTTCGTTCCCATGGCTTGCTGAAACCTATTCCAAAACTAAGAAGTGAACTTGGAGTCCCTATCGGACACCACTATCACTAGGACTCCATACAATTTGACTATTTCTCGGATATACATTCTTGCCAACTTGTCCAAGGGATCGGTCATCCTGATGGCTAAGAAGTGGGAAGACTTGGTAAGCTGGTCAACAATTACCCAGATGACGTCATGTCCTGAGCGTGCATTAGCACGAAGTCCATGGTGATATGTTCCCACTTCCACTCTGGGATCAGTAAAGGCTTAAGTAACATAATTGGGCGTTGATGCTCTGCCTTGACCTGCTGAGATACCAAGCATTTAGACACAAAGTCAGTTATGTCTCTTTTCATCCCATTCCACCAAAACCGAGATCGCATGCTCTGGTACATTTTAGTGCTTCCATGATGCATGACAAACTTTGAGCTATGAGCCTCTATCATGATGTCTCTCTTTAACTCACTGTCACTTGAAACACACACCCTGTCATAAAATCGGAGTAACCCATCGGCAGAGACTCAGAATTCTGAGCTAACTCCCTATTCTGTATTGTTCTTGAGGGCTACTAGGCAGGATCAGCTGACTGAGTTTCCCTTATCCTCTGGATTAACTCAGGCTGGACGGTCAAATAGCCCAAACATGTGACCTCCTCAAGTCCTTGAGTCGAACCTGTTGTGTGGCCCCAATTTGTCTGCACTCTGATACCATCAAATGGGTTAAGATACCTGCACTTTTTCTGCTGAGTGCATCGGCTACCACGTTGCCCTTACCCGAATGGTACAAGATATCACAATCATAGTCCTTAAGAAGTTTTATCCACTTTCTCTGACGTATGTTGAGATCTTTCTGAGTGAATATGTGTTTTAAACTCTTGTGATCGGTATAGATATGAAAAGTCTCTCCATATAAATAATGACGCCAAGTCTTCAAGGCGTATAC